GCATCCAATGTCCGTGGACTCTGCTGTCATCCATAACTCGGCATGCGTTAGGTCACGGCTCCCTTTTCTTTCCAGAAGTAACACTTGCAACCCGTTTGGTTTTGTCTCTGCCGAAGCATGCCGCAAGTCTTAAAAACCCAATCGGGGAACTACGGAGAGCTGCGTTTTAACCCCTTCCGCACCAGCAAACTGCAGCAAGGAATGGCTTGTCTGTGACACTTTCATCTCTCCTTTTTGCTTTTTTTTTTTTTTTTTTTCATCTCTCGGATAGAGCAGGTTAGGCGCAAACACAGCAACATCCTGGATCCATGTTCTGTAACCAAGCTTAAGAAATGTTGATTTGATGACAGTCAGATTAAGCTAAATATAGTCCAGCTCGCTCTCTCTCTCTCTCTCTCTGTCTCTCTGTTTTTCCTGTTCAATGAGCGGTGGTGAAAGCTTTTGGGAAAAAAAAAAAAAAAATTCCTTTTGAAGTCAATGAAAGTCTTGAGCGTTGGGGGACGCACAACAAGATGTATTAATTACTAGTCATTAGGCAACAAGTCAGGACACCTCTGAATGTGCATTCTTCCCGCTGCCCAGCCATTGCCAGGCTGAAATAGTCACCTTTTGTTGCTTAATTCAGCCTCGTTAATACAGGCGCTGAACCCGGCAACAATGGAGCGGGAGCCGGCCTTTTATGAAGCTGAAATGGTATTTTTCGTGCTAAGCCCTAATTATATCCGAGCTGGCCGCTGAAACATTTTAGCTGCTCCAGCTTATGAAGAACTGCAAGGCGCAGCGTGTCCCGCTGGTGACACTTTGGAGTTTTTGGGGGTTTTTTCCATCCCCGTTGTGGGATTCCATTGGGAAGAATAGACATAGAGGTTGAATGAAACCCTTTCTGCTCCTGAAGGGGGCCGTTCAGTGATTTACAACCCTCTACTCAACAACCTTGAGAAGTCCCCCCCCCCCAACTCTGTGTATGTATATCTCTCATACATAGCTCATCCCCCCCAACAACCGTTACAAAATGGCTGTTTTCCGATAAGGGCCCAGGACTTACTGCGGTCCTTGAATATCCTGCAGAAGTTACTAATCTGAGGACTGTAAATCATTGAGCACGGGGGAATACATGGGATACATTTAATACCTGTGTTCTTGATGCAATATTTCAGAGGAATTTGCTCTCATCTACACAAAAGGGTATTAAGAAAATGTTTCAGCTCTGTGTTTGTGTTTTTTTATTTTATCCTTTTTCTCTTCCCCCCCTCTATTGTATGTGTTTTATGATTTTGTCAAATGTTCTCGGTGTCGTAGACTAAGCCAAGCACCATCTATGTAACCTATAACTGTTGGATTACAAGGAACATAAGAAGCAGAAGGCAATGTGTATTTTCCCCTCGCTTCCCTTTATTGTCAGACCCTTTATTGACAAAGGAGCCCCGCTAGATGTTCACGCATTCAAGTCTCCATGGCTGAGCAGATCAAAGGGCTTTCTTATTAAAGATCGTTTCATAAACGTACATGATCTTTGTGACCCGATGTGCATGTTTATGCTCTGAGCAGGCACTTCCTGTCTGTATCTCGGGGGAACAATGCTGATAGTCAACGGTCAGCTGACCAAGTCTTGTCTGTAGACACCGCCGTGTATGTTTATGGGAAGGTCTTTCAGTAAGGAACTGGCTAGGCCTCTGATCAGAAAGTTACTTCTATGACAATATATAGACTGTGAATCTCATTGTGATGTAGACAAAGATAAAAGAACATAAGCCTAAGTTTTCATGTCTGAAGGAAGATCTGTTTTTGCTGACCCCAGTAAGATAGTCAATGGCTCACTAGACCAGTAGAGCCAACACGGGCATTACCGGCCCAAAGTCTGCTCCTTTATATACAAGATTGCAATGGCCCCGCTCATACTTTTGTTTCTATACCTCCACTTGAAGGCCCGGTAGCTTTAGGAAATGTGCACGTCACATATTTCACCCCCAACCGCTTACAGAGAAAAGCCCGGCTATATATATATGTATGTTCAACAATGTAACAAAAGTTGAACTACATGCTTGAGGCCCAATTTATATTGTTATCTGTAGCTTTGAGGCTGCTGCATCCAAATGTTCCCCATTTCAACTATTGTTTGTGGTAGTGTGAGAATTCCCAAACCTAGTCACCAGCCCGGGGGAATTGCAGGTCTGAGAGAATTGGAACACCAGTACCCAGCAGATTGGGGGTCAGAGGGGAATGAAGACCAAGTAGTATGAGTGATGGCATTAAAACCTGAATGTTGCCACCTGTAGGTAAAATGTTTAAACTCTCCACTTTTTGGCCAAAATAAATACAGATTTCGGATCTGGACCGCCAGGTACTCTTCCTCATTTTTCCTAGAACACTGTACTATTTATACTTTGGTCAGGTGCAGGAACCAGGGTGTGGAACCCCTAGGGATACTGATGCAAATGTTGAGTCCTTGAAGCAGGGTAACTGGGGCTATTGCCGGTGTTCTATTGAGAACGCCGACCCAGTCTGATATGCCGACGTCACCATCTGCGCTTGCGCACATAGCGGGATTAACGCGGAAGCTGAGATTTATTTGCAAAGTATTCATTTCTATTTGTTAATTGTGGCCGTCGATAATATGCCATCCATGGCAGTCAATGAGGTATGGATTTTTTTTGCACATTCAGAATTAATAGCATAAGCAATTACATAATAATGTCATTGCTTACGATATTGTGACTGTGCATAAAATGCCGTCCATCATTGACTGCCATGGATGGCATATCTTCAACGGTCACATTTAACAAATAGAAATGAATACTTTGTAAATAGTAGAAAAAATAGGTTACCAGCACTCAAAATAATTTCAAATAGATAAGTCCTTTTTATTGGACATACGTGTCACAATAGTCAAATAGCCAACGTTTCGGGGCCACGCAGGGTCCCTTCCTCAGGGCAAAAGATGTGGTTTACACGGTGCCATCCGTGGGAGTTACTGCAAGCACCTCATCTCTACTGGCCGGGACTGCTAAAAGGTGTGCGGAGAGCACCCTCACCAATCACTACTTTGTAAATAGATCTCCGTTTCCTCGTCAATGCCGTCTGACGGTGAGGTCGGCAAATCAGACTGGGTCGGCATTCTCGACAGAACACCGGTACCCATCGTGATCAATACAAATTCATAAAATAATTCATATTTATTCCATATTCTTAAAAACATTAATTTTTGTACTTGCAAATAACAGAGAACCTCCTCCTCAGCAGCTGAATAGCCTTTTAAAAAAAAAATTGCTTCCAACTACATTGGGCTCTCTGATGTTCCATCTCCCTTGTTGTACTAGACACAAGAGTCATCACTGAGGCAAGCAGGCATTCGGCTGGTCTGCTTGCTTCATAAGCTTTGTATTGACCTCATCCGTCCCGTCATTGTGAAAAAATCCTGCTAGTTTATAGGAAAGAATGCGGAGAGAGAGAGTTTGCTGGGATCTTTAGGTATAAAAATGTTTATATTTATATCTTTATTTATATATTATATATTATAAAATAGAGAAAATATTAATCCTAATGATACAAATGTAAAAAATATTTATGATGCAGCCTGAAGGAAAAGGAAAACCCGTGTCATTGTCTTTAAATAGACCCTGCTGCCAGACCATTCATTTCAATACCATGTTTCCCATAGGATGATATCTGCATATAATGTATCTCATGCATGGTAGTTACCTGTAAAAGCCTCACTTGTGTTGGTAACAAAAAGGCCAGAGACTGCTACTGGGTGCCGCCATCTTGGATGTGATGTCAGCAGACTCAAGAGTTGTCACTCAAGTGACACTGTATAGTATTCCCATTTGCTCTTTCCCCAGCTAGTATATAAAAGGTTACTATGGGTGGCAGCAGAGCAGCTGGGCCAGTGCTAAGAGTTATTAGACACTCCCAGAAGAGAAGAGGGTTACAAGGAATGAGGCACATTTGTAAATATATAAAAATCATTTGGTGCAGGTTTGTTGGCAGCTCCTATATGACATTTTTAGCTACATATAAATTCCTCTTAAATATTTATAATAGACCCGGGGAGTGTTAATCAAACCCAGAATGTCCCTTTAACTACAGAAATGTGCAAATAATTGTAGGTCTGCAGCTTATAAATACAATGCCGGTGCTTTACATGCCAATGTACCCTAAGAAGCTGCAAGCATTTGACTCGGTCACAAGTCCTCCCCTCGTAAAATCAATGCGATTCCTCATCCGAGGTCCTTAGCGGCTTCTGAATATTTGATGATAAAGCGCAGAATTCTATTTCATAATCAGCAGCCCTTGTAAATGACTTGGTAACCCGCAGCGATGTCGGTAATTGCCCAGAATCACGATGGGTGATCTCTATAAAACCGTCTTCACAGCAAACGTGATCATCCCAAAATGTAATAGCTGGAGAATGAAAATGTTTCATCAGATTGGTGGCTTTGGGGTGACTGGAGACAGTTCTTCCTTCAGAGTTTCTTAAGCACGGCTCCTAAGTCACGAAATGTTTCCCCATTCCTGCCATCCTCCTGCCCAAAAATGGCCTTCTGCTTTCTATGTCCTTGGTGACTAGATGTGTGTGTGATGTTAGTGTTTTTTTTTTTTGTCTTACACATTTTTCTTTAACATGCTATTTATATTGTATCCAGGTGACAAACATGGTAAGTTTATGCCCCTCCCCCCAATCCATGACTTGTGACTCTAGTTTTGCTTTGGCACAGTGTTTGGCTATTGGCTTTGGTCTGTGACCCCCAGCTTGTGCTACCTGACCCTACAGAACATTATATGGAGCCAAAAGGTGTTCAGAAGGAAGTCACAGCTATTGAGGGGCGGGACGCCCAGTTATCCGACTAGTGTCACCGAGCAGTGGCTTGGCCTATAAAAGCATGCAAGCCTTAGCAGCATGGTCATTACCTGCCTGAAACTTAAAACCTGCTTAACAACTGCTTTGGTGTGTTTTACCGTCATGCACCGTTGTCCAGCACTAGAGTACTGGGCATACATGGCCCTTTCCTGTGGCAATACATAGGAGTGTAGAGGAGGCAGGGGGCAGGTAGCACAGTCTGGCAATAGATTGATATTTATAGATCCCTGAACCATTTAACTCCTACTGGACACCTACACACCAGCGCCCAATCTTCAGTTCTCTACCAATCACATCGCTGTGGCGTGAGTTACATAATCCAACAATATCATTTTGGATTATTTTATGCTCCTTCAAATGCCTGCGAGTGCCCCGACCGTCACGTTTTTACTTGCTGGATACCCCTTACAGTCCGCACCCAGAACCTAATCTAAAGCTGCTGCTTTTTCTACATGTTGCACATGCTGTACCTAGATGTATGCAGCTAAATAGTTATTTTATGGAAATATATATACAATGGGGGGAATTTATCAAAAATGTGGAGCAGCTGTGCACGGCAACCAATCAGCTTCTCTCTTCAGTTTGCTCAGTTAAGATTTGAAAATGAAAGAGAGAAGCCGATTGGTTGCCGTGCGCAGCCGCCTCGGATTTTGCCTGCTCCAGTTTTGATAAATTCCCTTCATTGCGCTGTCCCTGCAGTTCCCGTGAAGTACGTTGCTACACACGGATCACAGCCGGCTGTTTTATGTGCTGCGCTCCTTTTTTTAAAAAATTTTAATAGTTTTGTTTTTTGAAGGTTTTATTAATGTGTGAAGTAATGTTACCTGTGTGCTCAGACCGTCTGAAAACAAAGCAGCATGTAAGCTTGTGCTTATTGTAATCTGAGCATTCGTTTTTATCTGGCCGCAGTCCATGATATGTAGGCGGCCACTCCAGGGACTAATGAAGGAGCATCGGAAAAAAAATAGGCAAAGGCAACAATGTAAAACTGACGACATTATACATCAAAATGTACATCCTGGCCCCAAAATGCTGTATCATGTACGGCAGGGGTGGGGAAACTCAGGCCCCCCGGCTGTGGCACAACTACAAATGCCATTAGGTATTGCAAAACTCAGGCAGCCGCAGGCATGACTGCCATAGGCATACACATGATGGGATTTGTAGTTCCACCGCATCTGGGGGCGGGCGGAGTTTGCCTGCCCCTGCTGCTCTGGAAAATGTAAAAGTTGCTTAGGTCGGTGACAGAAGCAGCTCAGCTGCAAAGTCTAACTTGATCTGTCACAGTGATTGATAAGGGAACTGCAAAGACCTGCCCTACACCAATGAAGAGCGAGCGGTCATCTTTTCGCTGGGGTTGCAGTGATCAATCCGTATGTTTATTACATTTATGTCCCGTCACCATGGCAGCAATCATCTTTTAAAGTTTGGTTCTCGGACCAGTCCCTCGCAAGCTGAACATCTCTGTCAGCGCTTTGTGACTTCAGCTGGGTGATGTGGGGTCACCAGTGCGAGTCCGTTCCTTTGGCCCGATGCCTCAGTGATGTGTGTGGTGAACTGTTGTGTCCCCGGTGTGTGTAGGTGTCCCG